ATATGTTTACCCAAAACTTTGACCGAAGTCAAATTAACTCATTTTATAACCAAAATTTTTATCATTTTTCAAAGAATTTCATATTTAAGCTTTCCGGCTACACGTCCGAACTGCGCACGCAAATCGAGGTGGCTCTAAATGAGATTTCCAAGGCCTTAGAACACATAATTTAATTTAAAGCAAGTGATGACGTCATCACATTCTCCACCTCTAAAACAACTGTTCATCCTCGAACGGACAGAAGAAGGAAGTACCTGAGTCGGGGAAAAGATGGGGATAAACGGCTCCGCATATCGGACTCGGACTCCCAGGTTGATGCCTCAGGAGGCTGACCTCTCCACTGAACACGAACAGAAGGAAATTTTTTCGACCTCAACTGATGAACCTGCCAGTCTAGAATGGATACCGGCTCTTCCTCATAAGACAAGTCCTTGTCCAACTGGACAATGCTGAAATCTAACACGTGGGATGGATCGCCGTGATATTTCTGGAGCATGGACACATGAACACTGGATGCACGTCTGATAAGCTCGACGGCAATGCAAGTTTATAAGCTACCTCTCCCACTCGATCAAGAATCTCAAACGGACCAATGAACCTAGGGATAAGCTTTCCCTTCTTCCCAAATCTCATCACACCTTTCATAGGCGACACTCGGAGCAATACCCATTCACCGACCATAAAATCCACATCTCGAACCTTGCGGTCTGTATAACTCTTTTGCATGGACTGATCTATACGAAGCCTATCCTGAATAATCCTGACCTTATCCAAGGCCTTCTGAACCAGATCTATATCCAACAACCGAGCCTCCCCCAGCTCAAACCATCTAACCGGAGATCGACACCGCCTACCATATAAAACCTCAAAAGGAGCCATCTGGATACTCGACTGGTAGCTGTTATTGTAGGCAAACTCTGCTAAAGGCAAGAACTAATGCCACGAACCTCCAAAATCGATGACGCAAGCTCGGAGCATATCCTCCAAAATCTGAATAGTCCACTCGGACTGCTCGTTCGTCTGAGGATGAAATGATGTACTCAACTCAACCTGAGTGCCCAACTCTCACTGAACTGCTCTCCAGAAACCTGAGGTAAACTGCGTAACTCAGTCCGAAATGATAGACACAGGTACACTATGAAGACGAACAATCTCCCGGATATAGATCTCAACAAACCTCTCGGATGAATAGGAGACTGCCACCGGAATGAAATGCGTCGACTTGGTCAACCTATCAACAATGACCCATATTGCGTCGAACTTCCTCCGAGTCTGCGGGAGTCCAACAACAAAGTCCATAGTGATCCGCTCCCACTTCCACTCGGGAAGCTCAATTCTCTGAAATAAACTACCAGACCTCTAATGCTCGTACTTAACCTCCTGACAATTTAAACACCGAGCCACATATGCAACAATATCCTTCTTCATTATCTGCCACCAATAATCCCGCCGCAAATCCTGATACATTTTTGCGGCACCCTAATGAAAAGAGTACCGGGAGCTATGGGCCTCCTATAAAATTAACTCCCGAAGCCCATCCACATTTGGCACACACACTCAACCCTGCAACCTCAAAACTCCATCATCATCTAGGGTAACCTGCTTGGCACCTCCGTGCTGCACCGTGTCTCTAAGGACACACAAATGAGGATCATCATACTGCCAATCACGGATACACTCCAATAAAGAAGAACGAGCAACCGTGCAAGCTAACACCTGACTAGGCTCAGAAATATCCAATCTCATGAACTGATTAGCCAAGGCCTTAACATCCAAAGCAAGTGGCCTCTTACCGACCGGAATATAAGCAAGGCTGCCCATACTGACTGACTTCCTACTCAAGGCATCGGCCACCATATTGGCCTTTCCATGGTGATATAAGATAATGATATCATAATCATTCAACAACTCCAACCACCTCCTCTGCCTCAAATTCAGCTCGTTTTGCTTGAACAAATACTGAAGACTCTTGTGATCTGTGAACACCTCACATGCCACGCCATACAGATAATGCCTCCAAATCTTCAATGCGTGAACTATGGATGCCAACTCTAAATAATAAACTAGATAATTCTTCTCATGAATCTTCAACTGCCGCAAAGCATAGACAATGACCTTGCCATCCTGCATCAATACTGCACCAAGCCCAATACGAGAAGAATCACAATAAAATGTATAAGGCTCTGATCCTGTGCGAAAAACCAACACCGGTGTCGTAGTCAGAGCTGTCTTGAGCTTCTGAAAGCTCACCTCACACTCGTTCGACCATCTGAACTGGGCACCCTTCTGGGTTGACCTAGTCATCGGGGCTACGATAGATGAAAACCCCTCCACGAACCGGCGATAGTAACCTGTCAATCTCAAGAAACTCCGAAACTCTGTAGCTGATGCTGGTCTAGGCCAGTTCTTGACTGCCTCAATCTTCTTCGGATCCACCTGAATACCCTCTGCTGATACAACATGACCCAGGAATGGAATTGGACTCAGCCAGAACTCACACTTCGAGAACTTAGCATATAGCTGACTATCCTTTAGAGTCTGAAGAACCACTCTGAGATGTTGCTCGTGCTCCTCCCGGCTGCCAGAATATATCAAAATATCATCAATAAAGACTATCACGAACGAATCCAAATAAGGTCTGAACACCCGGTTCATCAAATCCATAAAAGCTGTCGGGGCATTTGTCAACCCGAACGACATAACCAAGAACTCATAATGCCGTACCGAGTGAGGAAAGCTGTCTTAGGGACATCAGATGCCCTAATCCTCAACTGATGGTAGCCAGATCTCAAGTCAATCTTTGAAAATACCTTGACACCCTGAAGCTGATCAAACAAATCATCAATACTCGGCAATGGATACTTATTCTTGATCGTAACCTTGTTCAATTGCCGGTAATCAATACACATCTTTATCGATCTGTCCTTTTTCTTGACAAACAACACCGGCGCACCCCACGGCGAAACACTGGGTCTAATGAAACCCTTCTCAAGCAAGTCTTGCAACTGTTCCTTCAACTCTTTCAACTCAGGCGAGGCCATACGATACGACGGGATAGAAATGGTCTGAGTGCCCGGAGCCAAATCAGTGCAAAAGTCAATATCCCTGTCGGGTGGCATACCCGACAAGTTTGAAGGGAATACCTCAGGAAACTCACGAACAACGGGCACAGAATCAATAGAGGGAATCTCCGCACTAGAATCACGAACATATGCCAAATAGGCCAAACACCCCTTCTCGACAATGCGCCGAGCCTTCACATAAGAGATAACACTACGGGTAGAATGACTAGGAGTCCTTCTCCACTCTAAATGAGGTATACCCGGTAAAGCTGAGGTCATAGTCTTGGTGTGACAGTCCAAGATAGCGTGGTAAGGTGATAACCAGTCCATCCCCAATATAACATCGAAATCGACCATGTCTAAAAGCAACAAATCTACACGAGTCTCAAGACCCCCATCACCACAATACAAGAACGATGGACTCGATCAAGTACAATGAAGTCACCTACCGGTGTAGACACATAAATGGGAACACTCAATGAATCACTAGGCATAACCAGATATGGTGCAAAATAAGATGACATACGAGTAGGTGGACCCTGGATCAAATAACACTTAAGCATCTCTATCACAAACTAGAATAATACCTGTGAAAACCGCATCTGAAGCCTCAGCCTCGGGCCTGGCTGGAAGAGCATAACATCGGGGCTAGGCCCTACCACCCTGGGCTCCATCTCTAGGAAGGCCTGCAGCTGGCTGGCCTCTACCTCTAGCAGCCTGAGCTCCACCTCTAAATCCTCTACCTCTACCTCTAGCACCTCTACCCCCACCTCTAGCTGGCTGGGCGGTCTATGGAACACCTGGTGCCTGGACCATAGCACGGGAACCCTGCTGCTGCAACTGAGTACCCACCAACCTCGGACAAGTCCTCCTGATGTGACCATACTCACCACACTCATAACATCCACCTGAGTGATATGGCTGAGGAAACTAAGACTGATTCTGGCGACCCAAATGACCACCCTGAAAACTCTGGAGCGGCGGTGCACTGATAGGAGCTGGTGGTTCACTATAAGACTGCTAATCGGAATACTGCATCTGCAGACCACGACTACCTGAAGCGCCGTGAGAGACCTGAAGAGCTGATTGAAAGGGCCTAGGAGGATGGCCTCTACTATATGAATCTCTGCCTCCAGACGAGGCACTACTGAATCTACCTGAATGACGGGGCCTCTTATCCGACCCATGACCACCTCCCTGCGACAGGACCATCTCCACTCTATGGGCCACATTGGCCGCCTCCTGAAAAGTGATCTCATTCCCAGCCTCCCTAGCCATCTGAAGGCGAATCAGCTGAATAATACCATCAATAAACCTCCTCACCCTCTCGCTCTCGGTAGGAAGTATGACAAGAGCATGGCAAGCTAAGTCGATGAACCTGGTTTGGTATTGGGTAACCATCATGGAACCCTGCTGAAGGCGCTCGAACTGCCTCCGATAAGCCTCTCGCTGAGTAATGGGGAGAAACTTCTCCAGAAATAGCTGTGTGAACTTCTCCCAAGTCAAGGCTGGCGATCCAGTTGGTCTAGCTAAGCAATAATACCTCCACCAAGTCTTGGCGGATCTAGACAAGCGAAATGTAGCAAAATCAACCCCATTGGTCTCAACAATACCCATGTTCCTGAGAACCTCGTGGCAGCTGTCTAGATAATCCTGGGGATCCTCAGTAGATGCACCACTGAAAGTTGAAGTGAAGAGCTTAGTAAACCTATCCAGCCTCCACAAAGCATCGGCAGACATAACCACTCCATCACCGGTCTGAGCTACCACGCCCGACTGAACTGCTCCAACTGGCTGAACCGCTGGAGTCTGATTCTGAGGAGCTACCTGCTCCGGAGTGCGAGTAGAAGGAGTCTGGGACCATCCTCCAGCCTGAGAGATGGCTGGTGCTATAGAAAATAAGCCCGCTCGGGTGACACTCTCCATGAGGCCCACTAATCGGACAAGAGCATCCTGAAGAACTAGGTAGCAATAAACCCCTCTGGGACCTGAGCTGGGCCCACCGGAGCTACTGGGGCTGGAACCTCATTATCAAAGTCAACCTAAGGCTCCACTACTGAGGCTACTGCTCGGGGCTGAGCTCTACCCCTACCTCGGCCTCTAGCACGACCTCGGCCTACTATGCTCCTCGCGGGAGCTACTGCTGGGGCTCGGGCTGCTGAGCAGTGGATAAGGAAGCGCGCGTTCTCGCCATCTGCGAAAGAACAAAGTAGAAGTTCAATTAGCATTGAGAAACAAAACCGCACAACGAGAAAGAACAAATGTGAAGTTTTCCTAACTCTGTAGCATCTGGTGGATAAATACAGACGTCTCCGTACCGATCACTCAGACTGTACTAAGCTTGTCCGTGAATTGTGAAACCTATGTAACCTAGAGCTCTAATACCAAACTGTCACGACTCGGAATTCCCACCCTCGGGAGTCGTTATGCCACCTACTCGTAGAAGCTAGGCAAGCCACGAACTTAGAAATCTTTAACTCTTCTGTTTTAATCCTTTTTACAGCTTATATTAGCAAGTGATAAACATCTAAATGATAGCGAAATATGAGATATAAGCGGAAGTCTTAAAAAAATATAAAACCAAAATGTTTGGAAAGTCAACACATGCCTCTACCCAGAAACTGGTGTTACATTATCCACGGACTACTAAGAGTACTACATACAACAGTTTGAAGGAAAAATAACATTGTTTGTCTCGGATACATGAGATAACAGAACATAATAAAAGATAGAGGAGACACCGGGCCTGCGGATGCCTGCAGGACTACCTCAGAATCTCTGTGGACTGAAGGCTGGCTCCACAGCTACTGATCAAGCGCTACTCCTGTATCTGCACATAAGTGCAGAGTGTCGCATCAGCACAACCGACCCCGTGTGCTGGTAAGTGTCTGGCCTAACCCCGACAAGGTAGTGACGAGGCTAAGACCAGACTCCAGATAAACCTATGTAGTTATATAATATATAGCGAAAATACAAATAGGTAATAACGGTTTAAAAGGAAGGGGGAAACATGCTTCGGGGAAACATATCAATTCTATCAGGAACTTAATAAAGTATGAAAGAACACTCGATGTCTACAATCAATACGATAACCATACTGTTGCAGCGTGCAATCCGATCCCTTATCATTTAACATTTTTGTGGCGTGCAACCCGATCCACATATATACATATTGCGGCGTGCAACCCGATCCAATATAATATCTGTTGTGGCGTGCAACCCGATCCAATATAATATTTGTTGCGGTGCGCAACCTGATCCAATAAAATATCTATTGCGGCGTGCAACCCGATCCACATATATAACTGTTGCGGCGTGCAAACTGATCCAGTATAATATCTAATAATGTTGCGGCGCGCAATCCATTCCAAATATAGAGGCAACAATAATCATAATTAACCGTCCCGGCAAGGGATCAACAATAGACTACACTATCCCGGCAAGGGAACTCAACAGTACAAGTATATACGTCCCGGCAAGGGAGAAACAACCATAACCAAACTTATTCCAACATCTAACTATCTCAACTATAACTCAACTAGTTTCAACATCTAACTACCTTAGCTATAACTAAACTTGTTACAACACCTAACTACCCAGCTATAACCAAACGTGTTTCAAAACCTAACACGAAGAATCATCATCCTAAGCATCAGTAATATCAATTAAGAACACAATGCAAGGGAACCTCAACCCAACAATATCCCGGCAAGGGGGCAACATAATGATCTCTTCTCTTTCTCACTTTTATTTCACAATTCACTTCACAACTCGAGCCAATGCTCTAGAGTTTCGATTATCACTTATACTTTCACAATTCGTTATACAACTGGAGCCAACGCTCCTCGATGTTCATAGGTCACAATTCTTTCCACAACTTTACACAACAAATAGAAATCTTCACCAAGCCATGAATAATACAACGAGATCATGAAAATCACAAGATAAGACTCATGGACATGTTTGATACCAACGCATAGATACTCGTCACCATGCCTATACGTCGTACTCGACAAGAAACAAATAGCAAATAGGACACAACTCCTAATCCCTCAAGTTAAGGTTAGACCAAACACTTACCTCGATGCCACGAACACAACTCAAGGCTCAATTATAGCTTTACCCCTTGATTCCACCGCCAATTTGCTCGTATCTAGTCATAAATTACTTAATTACATCAATAAACACTAAATGAATCAACCCCAATGCATGAAAATGAGTTTTCCAAAGTTTTACCCAAAAAGTCAAAAATCACCCCCAAGCCCACATGGTCAAAACCCGAGGTTCGAACCAAAACTCGATTACCCATTCCCCCACAAAACCAAATATATGATTTGTTTTGAAATAGGACCTCAAATGGAGGTCCAAATCCCCAATTTTTGAAAAACCTAGGTTTTACCCAAAACACCCAGTTTCCCCCATGAAATATTTGATTTTAAGTTGAAATCATGTTAAAAGATGTTAATGATTGAAGAAAACTACTTAAAAACGACTTACAATTGATTTGGAGAAGAAAGGTTATTTGAAAAATCGCTTTTTATATTTTTGGGGTTTTGAAAAATGCAAAATAACTGAAAATCTAGTCTATTTATACCCCTCTCAGACTCCCTGTGCGGACCGCACAAAGTCAACTGCGGCCGCAAAGCAGCGCCCTGTGCAGACCATACAAAGTCGATCGCGGCCGCACAGCCTTCACCGCGCACCGCAAAAGGTCGACCGCGGACCGCACCGGAGGGTTCAGAGACCTGCAACATCTGATTTTAAGCCTACAACATCCCAAAACCTACCAGAAACTCACCCGAGCCCTTGGAACTCCAAACCAAGTGTGCATACTACTCAAAAACATCATATGGACCTATTCGTGCGATCACATCATCAAAATAACATGTAAAATCATGAATTAAACCTCAAAACTTAACATTTTCATCAAGAACTCTCAAAGTTCATAACTCCTCAACCGGAAGTCCAATTCACGTCAAATAAACTCCGTTTTTCACCAAAGTTCACGAAAACGTCTTAAGTCATATATAAGACATGTATCGGGCGCCGAAACCAAAATACGGGCCTGATACCATCATGTTCCAAGCAAATTTCATTTCGGTTTTTCCTTAAACAGTTTCAGAAAATAATATTTTTTTAAAAATTCATTTCTCGGGCTTGGGACTCAGAATTCGATTCCGGGCATACGTCCAAGTCTCATATTGTCCTACGGACACTCCGGGACCATCAAATCACGAGTCCGAGTCCGTTTACCCAAAACGTTGACCGAGGTCAAATTAACTCATTTTATAACCAAATTTTTATCATTTTTTACAGAATTTCATATTTAAGCTCTCCGACTACGCGCCAGACTGCGCACGCAAATCGAGGTGGCTCTAAATGAGGTTTTCAAGGCCTTAGAACGCAGAATTTAATTTAAAGGAAGTGATGACAAAAGGTCATCACATTTGTGGTCCTAAACAAGTCAAAAAGGGCTCCAGAGTTTTGTGTGTTTATAAAAACTTCTCATTAAGGATAGAATTGAAAGTTAAATCTTTGATGTCTCGCCTGTCTGCTTGGTTATAGAGCTATAAGTGAGAAGGGCTTTTGAAAATTGAGAGGTAGAGCACCTAGGAGCTAAATATTAGAAGAGCGCCCTCTCCTTTCTTCGGGAAATCGCTAAATTGTGACCAAATTTAAAAATGGGTCATTTTTTTCGGAACGGACCAAAAAGAAAATAGGTTCATACAAACTGAACAGAGGGAGTACTCTTTTTAGTATGAATATTAGCTGAACCAAATTTTCTTGGGGGGATGGAAAAATTAAAATAAAACAGCGAGGACAAAGGAGAAAACGCAAGATGTAAACCTGAATCTAAAACGCCAATGATTATTCCATCACCCTGGTTTGTTTTGTTCAGAAGATTGTTGGGGTTATTCTTAGAAAGACCCAAAAAATCCCAACTCCTTGATGTATGAGTCTCGTAAACACGATTTTGTATAACTCGAACCACACCAGGTAATTCTGAAATGCAAAGAAAATATATCAACTAAGTGAAGAATGACGGAAATCTTAAATATATATACAATCGAAATCTTAAAGATATTCAACTAGTGAAAATTAAATACCTCCAATTTGTTTGGCCTGACAAGCAGTGAGCTTAGCAGCAAACCCAGAGAAGCCATGTCTATAGCTATACACCATCAGTTTTTTGGCTTCTTCCTTGCTGCATAACCAAAATACACGAGTTTAAGCTTTATATAGTAAAGTCACTTATAGACAAGTTTCTTCTCACGTGCATGTTAAAACAATAAATTTAATATACATATAGTTATAGGCAGAAACTAATTAAATGATTATATCGCATTAATTTTCAGAATTAGGATTAAAATAAATAATGGCATAATATGTAAACTTTCTTAAGTTGCAATTTTGTTTCTATAATATTAATCTAATACATAAACTTAAAATTCTTAAATATCGCTTGGATCGTCGAATAAAAATAATTGTAGATAAATGAGTTTGATAATTGTTTTTGTAATTATATTAATTTTTCATAAGATACAAATATTAAGTATAATCTTATCTTATCTAATATTTTTTATATACAATATTCTTGGTGTATGTTCCCTTCTACCGATATAATTGCTTTGTCACTACTAGAGCTCTAGTTATTGACATCAAAGTTCATGCACCTTTTGATTTCCTTAATCACAAGAATTCAATACGATAGAAAAAAGTGAATGGAAGAATGGCAAGGAAAAAAAATCTGAGAAAGTGAGAATTTATAACTGCTTTAATTAATCTCTAGAAGAATGTTTATTTTTGGAGAATGATCAAGGAAAGATATATTGATCGTCTACTGTAGGAGACCATTATTTAGTAAGGAACTTGGTAAATATAGTAACTAATATACTATACATCACCCATTGATTGTATGAATATCTTTACATATTGTAGTGCGGAAATGATATCGTCCTATATGTAATAGACATGCTTATTAACATAATATATATATACCTCCCTGCCACTTGACCTAAAATGTCATGATGTGAATCGGTGATAAGTTTATGGTCATCATGTGGCTTGTGACCCAAGTAGACGATGTAAAGCTGTAAATACAAAGAGATACAATCAAAAGCAGAAAACAATCAATATCATATAAGTATTAGTTGTTCTTCATGATCATTTTACATGAACAAATTAAAGAATATTCGATAAAATTAGAAGAAAGCTAACTTTTCAAATCACTCGTGCATTACTCGGAAGATTGTGCATAGTAGAACTCTCTCTCCACGAAAATTAAGTTTCAAATATATTCTTGTCAATTTGTAGAAAATTTTATATAAAATTCAAGAATATCCAAATTACCTTAGCCTCGGAATCGTCCGCTTTTGCGGTTACTTGACAAAGACAAGTGAAGATTAACAAGAAAAATAAAAGAACAAGAGAAGAAGTTGGATGATTCCTCTTTTTTGAGTTCTCTCCTTTCTATGAGAAAATGTAAAAGGGAGAAGATAACCCAACTTCTGGATGAATTCTAAAATAGCTTTGGTTAATTAAATTAGATAATACTTGCAATCTTTTGAGCCTTTTATAGCCCACTCTTACCACACAGAGTCGAAAAATAATGCGTGGCTCATAATTTAAGTGTAAATATTAGCCATTCACTCGAATACGAGTAGATTAATGATGCTACTTTTACTCTTTAAAAATGGTATAATATTTTTCAAATTTTTAGAACGTATACTTTCTATTTTTATACGAGTGATAAGGCCATGTGTTCCACTTATTAAATGTAACCGACGAAAATCAACAAAAGATAGGTTCAAATAACTTGGGCTCTTCTTCACATTACTATATGATATATGTATGGTGTATTTTTTTTAAACTTTTTCCAGATTACCTGGGGGTGTGGTATTAGCAAAAATAGGGAGTTTGTTGATACAACACGAGGGTAGAGCACACCCTTTAAAAAATGAAGCATAGGAGATTATAAATAAATTGACCCCTCTAAATAATTAATTGCAAAACTAGCTAATAAAAAAGTTGGCCTTGTCATGTTTGTTCCTTATGCAAGGAATCTGATTTTTGTCCGGCAAAAAGGGGCCTTTCGCCTGACTAGGCAGCTGGTGGGTAGAATAGAAGTAAGCAGGCTATTGATTGTTCACTACAATTTTAGCCGAGCAGTCCGCTAATTGATTCTCCTCTCTATAGCAGTGACTAATCCAGATATGGATGTGTTGATAGCCTCTCTAATCTTGTTCACAATTTGGCTAAGCTTGTAGTTAGTTGCTCTCTCTTTACGAAGGATCTTTACAATATAAAGAGAATCAAATTCAAAAGTGGCTCGAGTGAATCCATTTTGTGTGTACCAATTAGTACCAACTCAAGCTGCCTGAGCCTCTGCGATGTTATGTTTTTCAACATTGAATGGAATTGAAAAAGCCATGATTGTATCCCCATACTCGTCTCTGATAGCTCCTCCTAACCCTGCTTTTCCTTCCCCTTGAAGATAGCTCCCATCAATGTTAATCTTGACCTAGTTCCTTTCTGGCTTTTTCCAGTGAACCACCATGCTTTTATACACCGGTTGTAGCCTTGTTAGGAGGTCACAGAAGTTGTTCCATGGCAGCTTGAGTTTGCAGTTAGGATAAGGTTTATTGACTGTAGCCTCGATACTCCAAGATATTTGCTGATGTAATTTATAACTATTGAATTTTTTTATCTCCATACATGCACTCACATTATTCTCTCCAAAGAAACCAGCAAATGATGATAGGAGTAATACTTAAACCAAGTATGTGAACATTATTGGCTGCCTTAGAGGCCCACCAGCTGTTAAGCATATATCTAATGAGGTGGGGATGGTACAATATGCCAAGAGCATTTCCAAAAAGTTTTCAAGTGTGTGATGACCCAAAAGGTCATCTTTTGTTTTATAAGTCAAATTTGTATTCCGAGACCTTAAAAATTTCTTTTTTCTCACCTCGATTTACGTGCGCAGTCCGGTTGCGTTTTCGGAAAACTTTTATGTGAAATTTAAGAAAAATATTGAAATTAGCCTTTACAATTATTTAGAGTTGACTTTGGTCAATATTTTTGATAAATGGACCTGAATCCATGATTTGGCAGTCCCGTAGGGTCCATAGTAAAATATGAGAGTTGGACGTATGCTCGGAATTGAATTCTGAGGTCCCTAACCCGAGAAAAGAATTTTTAAAGAAAATTATTTGCTGGAAAATATAAAGACTTTTGGAAATAAAATAGTGTGTGTTCTTGATGGTATCGGGCACGTATTTTGGTTCCGGTGCCCGACACAGGTTTAAAATAATATTTAAGTGAAACCTTTGAAATTTAGTAAGAATCGGAGTTGATTTGATATAAATTGGGCCCTATGAATTTCATCAATTTGAGGTTTAATTCGTATTTTTTGATGTTATTTTGATGATTTGATCACACGAGCAAGTCCGTATAATATTTTTATACTTGCGTGCATGTTTGGTTTAGAGCTCCTAGGGCTCGAATAAGTTTTGGATAGTCCACAGAGTAAGTTTGGACTTAGAAAATTTCTGATTTGCATCTGGTATTTGTTGTAGGCTCTGATCTTACAATTGCGAGGTCAGGCTTCGCAATTGCGAGCCCATCAGGTTTTGTAATTGCGAGGGGCCTGATCGCAATTGCGATGAATGGCCTAGCTAGCTTTGTTCGCATTTGCAAGCTTTTCTTCGTAATTGCGAAGGAAACATGACAAGGAGGGAATTCGCATTTGGTCGCATTTGTGATTGCAACGGAGATGTGAGGAGTTCGCAATTGCGATACATTCCTCGCATTTGCGAGCTTCAAAAATTCAAAGCTCTGGTCACAAATGCGACATCTACAGCAGTTAAGTTGGGACTTGGACGGGATTTTCATATCATTTTTCAAAAGTTCAAAACCTAAAATCCTAAGGTCAAGTTCTTCCCCAAATTATAGGTAAATGAATCTTAACTCTTTTTCTTGAATCTACTTCATCTTTTTACATGATTTCACTTCAAAATCTAGGGGTTTTCCATGGAAAATTGGGTGTTCTTGGGTAGAAATTAGGATTTTCAAATTTTGGGGATTTGAACTTCAATTGAGGTCGGATTTCAAAACTAATTGCATATTTGAGTTTGTGAGTGAATGGGTAATCGGGTTTTGGTTCGACCTTCGAGTTTTGACCAAGCAGATCCAGGGTTGATTTTTGACTTTTTGGGAAAAAGATTAGAAAATCTATATTCATGCATTAGAATTGGTTTGTTTAACATTTTTTGATGTTATTAAGTAAATTATTACTAGATACAAGCAGATTGGAAGTGAAACCGAGAGGTAAAGCAGCAATTGAGGCTTGATTTTGTCCGTGGAATTGAGGTAAGTGTTTGATCTAACATTAGCTTGAGGGAATAGGAGTTTTGGTCTTATTTGGTACGTGTTAGTGTCGAGTACGACGTATAGGTGTGGTGACGAGTATCTATACGTTGGTGTCAAGCATGCCTGTGATTTTTATACCATAATTATTGTGACTCTAATATGTACGGTCCATGCTTAAATTGATGATTATCAATGTTGAACAAGACTTATGAAAGTTTCTTGCTAATTGACCATTGTTGAGTATTGGCTCAAGTTGAGATTTATTTTGTGAAATAACTGTTGAAACGAGATTGGCTATAGCTGATTCCCTTGCTGGGATATTATTGTTTATATTGTTGATTCCCTTACTGGGATGTATTATTTCTATTGTTTGGTTAAGGAAGAGTGTAAAGCAAGAAGGGTGATGTCGTGCATGATATTGTGATTGGGTGTTAATGCACGAAGGGTGATGCACAAAGGGTGATGTCGTGCCAATATTGTGAGTGTTAATGCACGAAGGGTGATGCCGTGCCATGATATGAGAGTTAATGCACAAAGGGTGATGTCGTGCCAATATTGTGAGTGTTAATGCACGAAGGGTGATGCCGTGCCATGATATGAGAGTTAATGCACAAAGGGTGATGCTTGCCATTTCTGTTGTTTCATATGGTAAGAATCAGAGTAAAAGCACGAAGGGTGATGTCGTGCACGTTCTTGTTGATCCAAATATGATGTTCATTATGCTTCTCTATTGGTCTATTGTTAGAATTTGATATTCCCCGCATCATGTCCCCTTCCCATCTTTATCTGTTATTTCCTGTTATTACTGTTCTGTTTGTATATGAACTACACAGGTTTATATGGTTGTCATGTCCTAGCCTCGTTACTACTTTGCCGAGGTTAGGCTCTAGACTTACCAGTACATGGGGTCGGTTGTACTGATACTGTACTTTACACTCTTTTGTGCAGAATTTGGTGCCAGACCTTGTGAGTAGCTTGAGGGAGCTGCCTTTAGTCCAAGAAGACCAAGGTAGATCTGCTGGCGTCCGCAGAGCCTAGAGTCACCTTTTCCCCGTTTTATTTTGTTCTGTCTCTTCTCTTACGAGAATAGTTGTACTTCTTTCAAACTTGTATTTGTAGTAAAATCTTAGTCGTTCATGGATTTTGACACCCGATCTTTGAGGGTAGCTATGTATTATACTGTTGCTTTGCTATATCACTTCTGCATTTCATAAACATTTTGTTTTAGTTATTGTCTGTTCCTGTTAAATTAATAATAATGGTGGTAAAACTATAACTGTCGGATTTCCTAGCTTTCACGAGTAGGCGCCATCACGACTCCCAAAGGTGGAGAAAATCGGGTGGTGACAAGTTGGTATAAGAGCACTAGGTTGCCTAGATCTCACAATTCACGAACAAGCTAAATAGAGTTTAAGGGATCCGTACGGAGATGTCTGTGCTTATCCCTAGAGGCAACAAAATTTAGGAAAAACTTCACATCTATTCTTTCATGTCGTGCGGCTTGATTTCTCAATGCTAATTGAACTTCCACTCTGTTCTTTTGCGGATGGTGAGAACACGTACCGCTTCATCAGTTGACCAGCAACCCAAGCCCCCAGTAGCAGCTCCTGCGAGGGGCAGAGGCTGAGGCCGTGCTAGAGGCTGAGGCAGAGGCAGGGCTCAGTGTTACACCCCAAGTTTTCGTACGTGAGAGTACGTCGTAAGTCATTGATGTAAGCCCGGAAATGAGATTATATTTGGAAGCAAATAAAGTAAGTTAATCATGTTACCTTGGAGGTTACAAATATTTAAGATCATGAATAACGAGTACCAAGAGGCTAGGGTTCTTAACATGATAAGGAGGTTATTCTATGAGTTATTTTAGTCGTATGATAATCATTTTCTACATTTTGAAGGCAAGCAAGTTGTGGAACAAGAGTTGGCAAAGGTCATCACAAGTTACATTCATAAATTTGCTGAAATTTAGGTCAAATGTATCTGAGAATTTCTCCAAATATACTTGGAATCATGGGGTGTTATACCTACCAAATTGAAGATCTACGAGTCTAGTTTCTAACGCATTAAACCGTTCGTCAATATGATATCATAGTAGAGACATATTCGTGTTTTCGCGAGACCGCACAAGCAGCTCCCAATGGGACCCACTTAGGCG